ATTTTGTTGAGGGGTGTTAGGACAAGAACTTTGATGAATAATTCCATGCTGGTTTAGGTAATCTCCAAGAACTGAATTAAAATATTCAGTACCATTGTCTGTTCGTAGAATTTTGATAGAAATCTGAAATTAAGTTTGAATCATAGCATGAAAGTTTTTAAAAGTGGATGCTGCCTCAGACTTATCTTTTAAGAGATATACCCAACATACCCTAGAATGATCATCAATGAAAGTAATAAACCAATGTAAAGGGAGAAGATTCATGATTTTTCTTAGGAGAATAAGTGACACGAGAGTGCTTTGCAAGCTGACAAATATCACAAAGAAGGGAACTTGGCTTTTTATTGATAAATAAGTTCGGCAATAACTTCTGGAGATAAACAAAATTTGGGTGTCCCAACCTACGATGCCATAACAAAACATCATTACAGTCATCTGATAAACATAGAGAGTGGTTCGAAAAAATCCTCTTTTCACAATGAACATCTGTAAAATAGTATAGCCCTTCTTCCTCTCTAGCACTGCCAATCATCATCCCCGAGTCCTGTTCTTGAAAGATACAAGCATTTGCAGAGAACTGAGCAACACAATGCAACTCAGCAGTAAGTTTGCTAATAGAGATGAGATTACAAGTAAGAGAGGGAACATGAAGTACTGAGTTCAAAATAATATGCTCAGAAAGTTTAATAGATCCTTTTCCCGCAATAGTGGAGAAATTCCCATCAGCTGTTCTTATTCGTGACGGGTGATAGTAAGGGGTATAGGAGAAAAATAAGGTTGCATTACCTGTCATGTGATCAGAGGCCCCTGAATCAAGGATCCAACGATTACTACGTTCAACATGGAATGCCATACCTTTTTGAGCAACATGAATAGTTGCCTCAGCAGGTTGAGACATCAATTTCTGAAAAGACGAATTTTCAAAATTTTCAACGTCCATGGTTTTCTAACAACAGGTACCCAGAAAAAGTTCCCTCCAAATACGATTTTGACCCTCAAAACAGGAAGAGGGTTGCTCGCAAAAATCAATGAATGAGAGCAATCTTGGCTACAGTGAAACAGTACTGCTACAGTAATGAACAGTACTGCTACGGGTCTTCTGTGGGCTGGCTCAGAATCTTGTTCTGAACCTAATGGTGGCCTTGGTTTCGTGGTTGGAGGTGTCTAGGTAAGGATTCTGGCTTGGGCAGTGGCTAAAACGAAAAAAAAGGAATAGGAAAATGACATAAAAATAAATCAGAACGGGGAAGAGACTGGAATATAACCAACTCTTGATACCATGAAGAAAAGAAGAAGTGGAAGAAGTGTTTTATCTGAATAATACTTTCTTGATTCATTGAGAGACCCAATGGGTCCTTTTTATATTGAGTACATCCAACTACCTCAACTACTTTAATAAATATACAACCACCAACTACATCAATAAATATACAACTACCAACTACATCAATAAATACTATCTAGAATATTCTACATATTCTACAAGCTGCTACATCTTGTCTATACTTCCCAATCACCTTGTGTTCTCACTGGTTTCTTGGCAAAGGCGTTCAAGGGATGCCTCGATTGCCTCCACTCTTCCTTCTAGCGTTGCTCCTCCCTCTATTCCAGCAGGTCGACCATCTTGATACAATACAAGAGAATACAATGCAAGAAGAGAAAAGTTGGCAGATGAAAAAGGAAAAACCAGACGTTTATTAATGAACAAGAATAAAGAGAATACAAAGGTTCTCCTCTCCAAGGGACTATCCCTTCACTCATTGGGTCACTACCCAATTTATGCTTATTTTTCTTTTTTCTCTTCTGCTCCCACAGTAGAAACCCTAACCCCCTTATATACTAGTTGACAATATCTAACTAATTTTGAAGAATATTCCTTCGGGAGTACACTTTCCAAACCACGAGCTTATTCCTATGCCTAACACATCCCAACCACTTTTTCTCCTTCTGCCAAATCTTCCTCCAGTTTGCATATTGTTTGTTTTGGCACATGAAGAAGAGGACGTGCTTGGAGCAGTGGTAAAAATGTTCCTTTATGATTGAAAGGTCACGCGTTCGAATACGGGAAACATCTTTGCAATTATACAAGGGTAAGGCTGCTTACAAGGATTTCCCTCACCCCACCTTCGATAGTCGGGGTTTAATGGGGGAATGGAGTGGTTTGTTTTGGCACATGAAGCAAGTTTTGTGGATCAACAGTCACACAGTGAGTATTTCCAGAGTCAAGAATACATGCTTGAGTGAAAAACCCTTCAGTTGAGATAAGTAGGGCTCGGTATCTGTCTTTATGATGACAAGCTAGTTATGGAATGGGCTGTACTGGCACCAAACTAAGAAACTTGTTGCTGAGCATTCAAAGGAGCAGATTTGTCGCCTAAGAAGCAGCTAGGGGACCAGGTGGAGCTGAATTGAAGTGAGCCAAAACATGTGTATGCCCCATGGAAAGAAGAGGTGGTTGCTATTGTGCTAAACAGTGCAGTGAAGTGGGAGCTAGAGGTCGCTAAGTTACAAAATAACCATAACCAGGAGCAAAGGGAGCTTGGCAAGATGCTAAGCTGAGTAAACTGGCTGAGGCACGAAATTGTGATCAAAGCCATAATAACAAGTTGGGGCATCATGGCCAAACCTTTGGCATAATTGACACGAGATTGAGCCTTGGAACCCAGAGCCTCCTCCATGACCTCTGGAACGACCAGATTGATGACCTCAGCCTCCGAAAACCTAGATCCATACAGCTAACAATAAATGAAACTTATTTACGTGACCTAACCAGATGATGGCAAGAACTGCTTAACTGGGTCTGTATTGGTACCATATGGTGGATAAGGAGATATGACATGTATTGGTGCATAGGACCAAAACTGGAAGTCACAGCATTTTCTTTGGAAGTAGCTTGGGCTACATTATCCGAAAGTGCATCTAAAAGAGTGGATTGTCAGTGCTTATCAACTCATGCCTCTTGAGCAAGGAGTAAAGCTTTGATTTCGCATACATTATAAGGATCCATCCTGCTGTTGATAGAGTTTACAAAAGCATCTTAATCTGTAAGGAGGTCCTTCAAGTATGAAATCATGTAGTCTTGAGAAGAAATTGGATCACAGACAGACGCCAGAGAATCAACAATGGCTTTAATCCAAAGTAGGTACTCAGATTTATTGACCTTCTTTCTTCATATTTTTTGAGCTTAGATCAGAGTTGGGGTGCCTAAGCTCGCATGTGTGAATGAAAATAATTCTGGATCTCTTCCCAGATCTACCAAGAGTATAAACACCCAACGGCTCTATGGCTAAAAGAGATTCTGAAAGCAAGGATAGTAGCCATGAAAACATTTGATCCTGCCGTTCCTATTGCATGTGTCTTGCTCAAATATCCAAGTTCTCAACCTTCCTCGCAGGAGAATCGCTGTGGAATCTCTGGATTCGCAACGAATCAGTGTAGGAGATGTTCCTTGATTACTGCCTCCACATGTTGCTTCCAAAGAAGGAATTTTTATCAGGCCCTGAAATGGAATATGAGAATGAGACAGCAGAGTTTTGGGTTGAGGCAGATGATTGACCAGGAGGTGGTGGTGGATACGAGGATTGGGTGGTAAAGCCATGGAGTGAAATAAGACCCCAGAAAAAGCTCTTGATACCATGATACAAATCAATTGTGTGGGAGAAAATTTGGGAAAATAAGAGAGAGAAAAAGTATATGGAGAGAGAGTTCAGAGAATCTGAGACTGTTCTTTTAGTGGAAAAGTAATTAAATGAATCAACCACCATACAAGAGAGACTAGAGATACATTTGTAGTTAGGGAAGTAACTGTGTAACTGGCTATCAACTGTAATAACAGCTACTTGACATGGTATGAGTCATGTAACAGACTCCAACAACCCCAGAAACTACCATAGAAGTAGTTACTCTAATATGAACATACATATTAGAGAGAACAAGGATACGTGACTCTTAACAATCTGTTAAACAGACTTGCATGATATCTGAACGTGATCCTTTTATGTTCTTAAGATATTAAATATATCTACTATTTTCATTTAATACTTTCTTTATTGAGTAGTCGGAGGATATAACATTACTCATGATAGAATTGGTTCTAATGGGGACTTCTAACCTTTATTCTTTCCAATTGCAGATGCCTATTTTCTCACTCGGGAAGCTAATCAGTGGTACAGAGAACCTGCTTCAAGTCCTTCTGCCTCTCCTTCGTTTGTTTCTGAGTCTGTTTAATGTATCATCTTGTGAGATAATAAGATAGTAATGTAATATTGCATTATGGTGTCTTTTTTTCTTGCATAATTTAATGATGTAAAAATAAAGCTTTGCTGCTTTAGCTGCTGGGAATCAACAAAATAGAAGAAAGAGAATAAAAATTCAATGAGTAAAATAAAAAGGAAATGCCTCTAGAGACTCCCTAAAGATCAAAAAATAATGCTGTGACATGAAGGTAGTCCTAATCTCCCACATTTCAAACATGTTTTTTGACATTATTTTGGAGTGGCCTTGATGCAGAGTTTGAACAATGCATTGAATTTGAAAGTCACAAAAAAAGGGGTAAAATAATAGTTTGATTAGCTAAGGATTACAAGATTTCAGATGTCAGCTGCAGCTTCACACGAGGAATATGTAGGTACTTTGTTCAGATTCAAACGCTCTAGCTTTTAAGAGTAATTTGGCCCGTTTTTAGTTTTTATCTGGAGCAGATTGCCTTTGCTGAAAGACTAGTGAGAATGGACAAACTAGATTCAAAGAGGAAACTGACTATGATTAGTGAAAATCATATGAATTAAAAAAACACACTTCAATTATGTATAAATGCATTGAAGTTGAATAAAGCTGTAGGGCTGTATATGGTTAGTTTCCATCGGCTTCTTAAATTGGGCATCCATTCCATAATCGAACTAGTACAACGAGTGTGACTTAGATCAATGTTAAAACTCATCTAATAAAAGAACTAATACTTTGATAGAAAGATTATTAGCAAGTAGAGTCGACGAATGAGGTGAAGCTGAGTGCATTAAAAGACGCAATGTAAAATGAGCATAACTCACTTCATGTGTCTTGTTTTGAACAGTGAATGTCGGTCAACAGGATGACTGAATGCCGGATTTGATGGTGCAACTGTGGATTGGGAGTGACGGTTTTAATAGTGTATCGCGTTGTGTATGAAGAGTTAGATGCTTGTTTTACAATCATCAACTATAGCATCATAAGAACAAACATCAAATCCACACATTTTTGGGTCTTTTATTTTATTCATTCAATTTCTCCCCTCATTCTACAGAGAGGGAGAAGAAACAAACTGTCTAGGTAAACTAAAAAGATCTTTCCCTTCAAAAGGAGAACTCCATTCCCTAGAACCAGATGTTTCAGCAGAAAATGCTCCACCATCTTGCAACCCAGGCAACGGAACCATGCTCCCATTAGAGGGTATTGATCTAATTGATGTCTGAGCAACCAAGCCAGAAGCATTTGAGCCGTATATATGAGCATTACTTTTTGTAAAAGGTGAAAGCCCCATCCATAATGCATTTGACCTTGGTGGAGATAAACCTCTATCCAAGGACCAGTCTATGTTGGTATAATCGAATTGTACTGACCCACCAGTGCTCCAGTCTACCGGAGAAGTTGCCCCTGATGTCACAGCTGATCCTTTACCAGAAAAGAGTCCTAGAGAAGAGGCAGCGGCCAGCGTTGGGGATGCGGCCGTCCTATTCCAAATGCCATTCCCTCGGTCAGTTGCTTGGAGATCTACTGGATTGCTGCTGCCAGAAACAAACTGTTGTCGAGTTTGATACTGAAGTTGATGGTACATTTGATTAGAACTGACATAGTTTGAATTGAGGCATCTAGTGCTAGTATTGTGGGACATAAAGCCATTGGGCCTCATCACTTCTACACTGTTAGGTGGATACCAACTGGCACCTACTCCAGGAGGAGAGGAACTCATGCTTGTGGCTGGAACCTGTTTTGCATTTACAGTTTGAGGCCGCTGCATTACAACTACTGGTTCCCTAGCTGATCCAGGTTGAGGGTTCTTATAATCACCTCCAACAGCCATATAAGAAGCTTCAGTCTTAGCGGGTGTGGGTGACACTTGCAAAGGTGATGCCAATGAATAAGAAACAGAAGGATTAGATCCTGCATTTGACCACCTCTTGTCAGCTGGTATAGCAGTTTGTTGTTGGGGATTTGTCCATTCAGGCTTAGGTTGGATTTTCTTAAGAGGCTGCACATGTCTAATACTGGATTCTGTAGATCCTCCAATCAAAACTGCTGCCTTTGTGTAGTTAAAATCCTTTTCATCCTTTTTGGGTTGATTTGGAGAGAGAAGGGGTTTTGTCTGTAGCCTTGCACTCTGACTCACAACTTCTGACAGCTTACTCTTGTTAATGTGAGAAGGATCACCAGTTTCCTCTGGCATTGGTGAACCAAGTGGTGGATCCAGCTTTAGTTCTCTCAAAGACTCTGCAGCCTTATCAAGATCACCCTCACAAGCAACAACTGCTCTTTCAACCTCCTGTTTTGAGCAACCGTACCTGGTTTCTAGGTCTGCAATCCGAGCAAGTTCTTCTGATATGTCAATTTTCAAATTGTCCCCACCTATATTTTTATTCTTGTGATTATCTGCGTCTTCACCACCTTCAAACAGCCATGCTACTGATTCCTCAACCCTTCCTTCATTCAGTATCAATGCCACTGTTGCACGATCATGAGAAAACCCCATTGCCACAAGCTGTTGAGCAAGTGCCTCAAGCTTCCTTGACATAAGATATCCACTGCAACGTTCATGCAACTCTTGTGCTCGCCTTTCCTTCTGCCGTTGATGTTTTCTCTCATTCTTCTGGCGGATTTTCTCTCTTTTGTCATTATCAGCTCCTGGTACAGCTTCCAGTCGAACAGGAGTACTAGAAGCTTTGTCTTTATGGTCCTCTGACTCACCAGACCAACTACCATTATTAGAAACAGAATCATACTCCACGCCAGCTATCACTGAACCCTCAGGATGTTCATCCGTCTCATCTATGTTCCGAAAACGGCCATTAGAATGTAGTGGTGATGTAGAAGATGTTGGTGACATCTCCAGAGTATGGAATGTTCCCAATAATGGGTTGTACGCACTTGATGGTATACCAGATACTGCATTACCCGATCCTGAAGGCTTGGCAGGAGACTTCTGAGCTTCCTTGCCTGCCTTTTTGTCTTTAGACTTGGATTTGGATGCAGGAGACATCTCCTTACAAGCAAATATGTCCCTGCAACATAAGAGAAAATTAATTAGACAAATTGTTTTCTAACGGACTACCAAATTAGTATAGTAACAACAATATATAACAAATATGGCACGCATCAACAAAATCGAAGACCAAACCATATCTACCAGACAACATTTTGCTAACATAAATACCATCATGATTGTGGATCTGTTTGCAAACAATTAAGTGTGTAAAGGTTGGGGGAAGACAGTGGAAAACTGTAAGAGTCTTGGTATATGTTAAACATTATAGGGATTCAGATAAGGAAGGAAAAAAAGAGGCAAGATATTTATCGAGAAATATTTATTGTTCTTATTATAAGACCGTGATTGGATCCACATGTTCGGTAAAAAGAAGATCTTCTTGTTTGAGAATAACAAAATAAGGAAAGTGTTCAATTGGAACATGAAAACGGGACTACATTGGTCCTTGTTACTTTTCGGGACGGAGTGGAAGAAAGGGGAGATTCTCGTGATCACTAAATAATTTGTAATTGACATTGATTTGAAGGACACATTATTTATACTAATGATAGATTTCAAATCCTAGGAAAAAAATGAAAGAGTAAAGCCTCTTTTGGGTACCTAACAAAAAAATACGGTCCTCACTTTAGTACGTTACTAAAAAAAAATTAGTCCCTAGGTCCCTAAGAAATTCAAAGTTAAAATCGTGATCCCTCACAAATTCTAAAAAGACCCACATTAGTCTCTCAAAAGAACTAAAATGGGTCCACTTTAAATTTCATAGGGACCAGACGACCAATTTTTTTTTTTAAGGGACTAAAGTAAGAACTGTGTTTTTTGTTAGGGACCCAAAAATGGCTTTACTCAAAAGGAAACAAATCATGAAATTTATAGATATGTGAAACTAACCTAATACGAACATTGGGAGAGTGTTAGGAATAGTCATTACGGAAAGGGGTTGATAGAAAGTTGTTAGTCTGTTGTATTTGGGTGTTAGTTACATTGTTTCAGTTGTTACTTTCTTATGCTTTTAGATACTGTTAGGTTTTATAAATAGAGTGGGCAGAATGTATATTGGTATGTGTGAAATATGAATAACAAAGTATTGGTTTTTCTTTCTGAATTTTCTCTCATTCTCGTCTTTTCTCTTCGCTTTCTCTGGCAAAGCGTAACATTGGTGCTTTCATTTTCTCTGGCAAAGCGTAACATTGGTGCTTTCATTGGAACACCATTATTTCGTTTTCTCCTTCATTCTTTCATCCTTTTTAGCTTCTCTTCATGATGAGGATCCAAGAACTATATGAGAAATTACGTTCTTTACAGCTGCGTCTGGATGCCAATCTTGATGAAATCAGAGTCCAAGTAGCTGATACGAAGATTTAAATTTCTCTTCTGGCGTCTCAAATGCAACAGCTTCAAGAAGCTGTGCTTTTCTGCCATGCTCCAATGTGAGAAACTCCTTTGGGTCCTTCATTTTCATTTCATTCATCAATACAAAATGAGCTCAATGATCAACGTTCACTGGGTGAAGTGCAAATTCAGAGTCCACAAGAACCCATAGTTGCTGATCAGAAACAGAACCAGAACCAACCCATCTTGCAAAAATCTCCAGCAACAATAATTGATCATAGCCAAGAACAAGATCATTCAATGGTGGAGCCCTCTAACCTCTTCCCCCTGCTGCGTCTCCACAGTTTCAACAACAGCCAGCCATCATTTGGGTCAAGAGGCTTCTTAACAACCCACCATACACACAAAGTGTTTGACGAAATTCCACACAAAAGCGATTTTTGTTATTCGGTCATGATTGTGGATCTTGCTCAGAATTCACGGCCATGTCAGAGAAATCTTTCTGACATGTATATGGAGTTTGTTTGGGAAAAGCAACGAGTTGTTTTACATGGTGAAAAGGATGTGACACAAGCTAATGATGAGCTTGCAAAATGCTTTGCGTTATCTGTTACAGAAGAAAACGTGACACATGCTGATATATTACCAGACTTGGTTGTTATCAAAGATAATGCAGAAACAGTACACTTCAATTCTTTTTTCTTCTTTTGTTTTCCTTGGGACCCAGGAGAATTTCCAATTTTTTAGTTTTTGTTGTTGTATCCATCGAACCTCGAGGACAAGGTTCATTTCCAACGAGGTGGGAATGTTACGGTTAAGTGAAAGAAATAATAAACGTGAATAAAGGTACTGATAGGGGTTTGAATAAAGTACTGTGTATTAGAGAGTTGTATATAAGAATGGATAGATGTATTCTGAAGTCATTCTTGAATAAACAAATCAGTTCTCTTGTTACTTTTCTCTTTCGTTCTCTCTCTCTCTTAGGGTCATTACCCTAACATTGGTGCTTTCATTGAGAATTGAGGCCACATAAAGGACTACCTAGAGGCTGGATTAAGGTGCCATACCTCCCAAATGGGTATTATACTGAATATTGATAGGTAAGTAAAGCCGCAAAAAAGGAAAAGGCTACCATCGGGTCAGTGTCGATAAAGTGAAAGTCGCCGTAGACGTCGGCCCTTAAAGAAGGTGGCAATATTACAACTCCCACATTAGTTGCCTATACAACTAATGAGTGGTTTATAAGGCCTTGGGCACTCCCACCCTTTGAGCTAGCTTTCTCTGACCCTGTTCTGATTCCTCGATCTCCATCAGCACCCCAGGTGACACCAAGAGAGTCCCCTCCTGTAGAAGGAAAGCCATGTAGGAACTAGTCCAAGTTACGAGAGGGTGTTGGCATGAAGCAGAACATGGATCCAATAGGGAACCTCACAAATCGTTTCTTGACCATCCCTTTCCCCAAGTTCCTAATATTGTCATTAAGCCTTACAAAGCCACTGCAAATCTGCTTCAATTTCCTCATCGAAATTTTTTTCATGATTGGGTTTGCACCCTTTACCTTTCATAGCTTATTGGTGGCTACTGATACTTTTACCCTTCTTGGTCAAAAACAAACCCCCTAAATTTTTGTTCCTTCTGGCCCCAACTGGAGTATCTCATGTGTCCAAAGTAACACTGCAATATTACCCATTGATCTTCTACCTCCACCTTGTAGCTATGGATGACGAACGATTTTCTCTATTTCATGGACCTTGAGGACAAGGTCCCTTTTGTAGGGGTAGGTAATGTTAGGAATAGTGATTAGGGAAAAGGGTTGTTAGAAAGTTGTTAGTCTGTTATACTTTATACTTTGGGTGTTAGTTACATTGTTTCAGTTGTTACTTTCTTATGCTTTTAGATACTGTTACGTGTATAAATAGAGTGGGAAGAATGTATATCGGTATGTGTGAAATATGGAATAACAAAGTATTGGTTTTTCTTTCTAAATTTTTTCTCTCATTCTCGTCTTTTCTCTTCGCTTTCTCGGCAAAGCGTAATAGAGAGCCTCACCTAAAAAGCTAACTTATAAGGTAGAAGAGCCCAAAGTCCATATAAATCTTACACTAGAACCTTATGTTTCTAATATGGGACTCCAAGTCCTATACCTTTCAATTGGATCGTAACATCCCACCACGCTTCCGTTGTGCTTGGATTACATAAGAAAGAAAGTTACGCTTGATATCTCTATAGAAACTCTGAGAAGAAAATATCCTCTAGCCCTTTCCTCTCACTCAACTATTGAGTAACAATAATGAAGAAAGCTTCCTTCACAATAACCATCCTTCTCCTTTATATTTTCTCGTCTCTTATCATTACCTACATCAGTTATAAGTCTCCTATTATAAACTGCGTTGTCCACATACTCATTCAGTTACAAATCAGTAATTGTTCCTCCTATTATAAGTGTAAGGTAGCCAATGCAACAACTAGTTAGTGCCATTGATTGTTCTTAGTCTTCAACCATTCCACTTCTAAATAACCGACAGTTATTACAGTGGCAGATAGAACTGAATCTGCATTGAACGTGCTTGAAACATAATCATGGACTTCAAATACAACAAAATTATATATATATATATATATATATATATGTTGTGTGTGTGTGTGTGTGCGCTCAAACAGACACTCTCTAGGATGAATCTCATAAACGTTAAAGACCATACATCTTCAAAAACAACCCAACATTCTCCAAATATTTAAGCCACATTGAAGCATCAATTACGACACTAAACTTTTGGCTCTCCCACAAATACCAACATCAATATTTATTATTCCTCCTCTACACCATTGCCATTTAATATTCTAATTAGTAACAAACAAGATTTAAAAAAAAATAGTGATCTTCTGACAACCAAACACCAGATGGAGTTATGCATATGGAAGCCATGCCACAGGTAGCAATCCAACTCAATCACAAAGTTAGAAGTTCTTCCCCAAAGCTCAGCACTGTCCCAAAATTTGCATAACTAACTAACCAGTCATCCCAAATAAAAATTCAAACTCTTGACAAGACAACCAAGCAACAACTATAACACCACATCGTACATAACCAAGCCCATGAAAATTTCCACTTCCTCGCCAAAACAACCCACAAAATCCGCATCAACGAAAGAGCCACCGTGAGCCCAGCACGTGATTTGCCTCTCAGTCTCAAGGATCAATCCACAAACAATCCCAATCCAAACATGACCCAAAATCTCGATTCCAAAACAGCATATTCGATAAATCGGAATGCGGAATTCAAATTACGGAATTTCATAATTGCGTAAAAGAAAAAAAGCAAAACCAAAAAAACTGAAACCACATAAGAGTCTAATTCGCGGAAGATCACAGCCATAGATTCAGATTAAAATCCCGGAAAACAGAGAGAGGCAGAGAGAGAATTGAGAAACAGAGGGAGACGGCGGAGAAGAAGAACGAACCTGTGGATTGAGCTGTTGATATGAAGAACGAACGGTTGCACTGTTAAAGAGATATAGGTTTTTCGAGGCACAAAACTGAAATTGGGGGAATTAGGGTTTTGATTTGAAAAAAAAGAAGAGATCTGAAAATTGCGAAAAACGAAACGAAACGAAAAAAACACCCAAATTCTGAATGTACTTTTTTGTTGCAATTCGTACGTTTTTCCCTTTTATTTTTTTGCCTTCCCCATTTTTTTCTTTCTTTTAAATTTCGTTTTGTTTGTTTTTCATTTTCTAGATATACACTCTCAGCGAGCCACGTGTGAGTCAGAATGAAATTATAACTGTTGCAGAAGAACTTCTAGAATATGCACAGTGTCATTTAATTGCAGAAGTGTCAAGTTTTACAAGAAGAAAACGAAACTTTAATCAAGTTGTTCCATCGAAGAGGATTTTGTTTGATATTGAACCGGCCAACTTGTGATTAGCGATAGAAGTGATAAGACATCACTCGAGGCTGGAAAGCAAAGCATGAAGTCAAGATTGGTGAGCAATTTTGTAAAATTCGGCCCACCCATTCATTGACTCGGTTAGAGTGATGGATAAGTGAATTATTGATTTAACCGTTTAAATTTAATAAATAAATATAAATTCATATTTCATATTTAAAATTTTAAGAAAACATAAAAACCGCGTTTCGTTCGAGATACGGTCACTTTGAGTATTTGGTGATTCCTTTTGGACTCACGAATGCACCCGCAGTGTTCATGGATTACATGAACCGAATTTTCCAACCGTACCAGGATAAGTTTGTAATCGTCTTCATTGACGATATCTTGA